GGGCGGGGGTGGGGGGGGATTGTGTTTGCACATCGGAGTCACGCTAATGAAGTCGTTGATTTGTCACGCCGCGTCACTTTGCGTCACGTCGATTCACTGTCATCATTTTGAACATTGCGTAGGTCACGTCACGACATATCGGTTGCACTGTATAATGTTTACAAAGTAAGGATGGCTCGTTGACGACTTTGTCATAACTTTAGTCTATGTTCAATTCAACTAGCGAAATAAAACAATACAACTTGATTCTAACTAGTTACATCCATGAGTTTACGATCAACTCTATTAACAATTTATTGTACGAGTATGTGTATATCCAATAAATTATTGTTAACGTATTCATTTACTAAAAAAAACTACCTGATTCCACGATTATAGTAAGTATTAAGTATTGGTAACAAAGCTAAGTACTCACGTGCAGTCGTCGAGGATCGCCTCCACGCGCTGCCGCACGTCCTGCGGCAGCGCGGGCGAGGCCAGCAGCTGCGGGCACGCCGCGCCGGCCAGCACCTGCGCACACCCTCACTCACACTAACCTCCACACCACATTCCCGTGACTTTTCAGTGGCCATTATTTTTAAGTGTTATCATTGCATCATTGTTGTGAATGTATTATAATAAAGTAATAATATATTGTGTGCTCGCCTGTCTGATGAAGGTGATGGGTTTCTGTCCGAGCGCGTGGCAGTCGCCGATGTTGGCGCGCACCACGCTCGCGAACGGTTTCGGCACTCCCTGTGACAAAATAAAACGTTAAAATATATTGTTACTCATGAAAGCTGCGTCTTTAACCTAAAAAAAAAATGAGTATGTGAGATTTACGATACATGTGAGCAATGACGCACGGAAGCGGTGAACACACGTCTCTGATTACCAAAATGTTAATTTCTCATTGACTGAAATATTTCCTCAGCCGCATTTAACAGAAAAATAACCTGGAAGGTTCAGAGCAGCGCACTGACTGGCTGACTGGTGGGAAAGTCCCGATAAACGTGTGTAAATTGCGGCGCAACAGCATTGTCCTCGTTGCGCTATGTCGCACGATGTATATCCGAGCTGTACCGAGCTGAGGTGTCCGCGCGCCGCTGCCGTCATTGTACCTCGATGTTAGGACATTACATTATACACGAAACGTTATGCAATGTGTGCGTGTACTTATTTATGCACTCGGAAGTGCACGCACTCGGCTACTTGTATATAAAAGTGCTATCGCGTGTTTATGTCCGCGCACGTGTTCACTACATTTTTATCGTCATTAATTGTCAGAGTATATACTTATCATTAACAATTAAATCGCTGTAGATAACTGCAGAAACCTATCCATACACACTTGTTTCAGTATTAATCAAACACATATTAAGTATAGAAGAGGGGTGTCGGGAGGGGTGGAGGGGGGATCGGTAGGGGCGGAGGGGCGGAGGGGCGCGGGGTCGTGAGTTCACCCTCAGGGCCGGCGCTATCGGCAGCCGGCGCAGGCGCAGTGCATATCGTAAACATTATTATCTGTTATTATTTCATTATTTACGATAAGGACTAAGACTCTTGCACTAAATCTGTTGTTATTGTTTGCACTTGATAGCTATCCATGAAACGTAATATTTGGTCATCTCTTTCTCTAAAAATAATTGTCATTTAAACTCTAACTAATATCTATTTGAAGAGAACTCAACTTAAAAGACTAGTATTTACAAATAATTACTCATGAATTTTTGATATAATGAATGCTACGCTCATGAATACTACTACTTATATCGGCAATTGCATCTGCGCGAAATTAACAGAAAAACACAATAACTATGCTTCATTTTCTTTAGATTCGTTAAGCCGTTCTCGAGACACCTAGTCTTTGCCTATTCCTATTGCCATAATGCTGGCTGCTGGTGGTAGCTGCTGGCTGTTTCTGTTGGACGGCGTACCTTCTCAAGCTCGTGTTCGATGTGCAGCGCGCGCTCGAGTACGGGGCCGCGCACGGCGTAGCGCATGCGCCGCAGCCGCTGGTTCATGTTGTCTACGGTCAGCACCTGCTCTTGCTTCATGATATCAGCGGCTTGAAATGCAAGCGGCGAACTGCGATCGTATCAACGCGCAAGTGCCTCCGTGCCGCACTCCACGCGCGTTATATTCGCGCCCTCCTCGTGCCACCGCCGCCGCCGCCGCCGCCGCCACCGCGAGGTGATTCCCGCATCTTATAGAAATCATTTTTTCCTTAATCGATAAGTATGTGCTGCAACACGATTGCAATTCTTATCTCCATATGTCTATTAATTGTACTCGTAACTGAGAACATAACATTTTGATGAGTGCGTGCCTGTTGGTACAGGCACATTACCTGGCTGCTGGCTCACTTGCTGCTGCCAGAAGTGATATTATTTTCTTTTTAAGCGACTGATAATAAGAGTAATGTTTTCGCTGCGTAATTTTGTTTAAATGTATGTGGGTTTGTATATATTTATAATAAATTCCCTTGTAACTGTCTGGTGTGTGATACCTGGTGCATATGTCATACACACACACACACATGTATTATACATATGTAAAGGTAGTTTTGTTACAATCAATGTTATTTCTTAATATTCGAGAGTTTTTTCTTTGCCTATACTTAATAAGAGCGCGGAATTCTCCTTCAATTCATTGTGTATGTAAATTAGGACAAGTTTATCGAATTTACATTCAAATCGACTCTTTATAAAATGAAATCCCACAGGGCACAGGCCCCCCCCCCCCCCCCCCCCCTTGCCGCGCTCCTACCCTCCTACCCTCCTCACACTCTTTTACCACCCGAACACAGGAGTGACGGACTGACATATGACTGAACGTTGCGTAGATATCGGCCTATTGTTACGAGTATTTATAAATGTTGAGCTTGTCGAGGCTGCTTTAGGTATTCGATCCGAGTTTGAACCATAAAGAAACATTATTTTCCTACGAAGGTACGGATCTCGTCGAAATTTGGCATTCATATAGAACATAGTCTGGGAGAACACATATGTAGGCTACTCATTATGTTTTTCTTAATTCCGCAAGGACGGAGTCGCGGACAACGGCTAGTATTTCTATAAATATAATAATCTAACATTTTAAGAACATATAATATTATGTACCGAGAAGGAAAAAGTAATATTAAATTGTATTATAATACTTACAATCAATTGTTTTTCTTTGTGAGATTCACTTGGCGTGTTGTGAGTGACCCTTCCTTGATTCGGGACTTTACTGTTTTGCGGTAATCTATATCTATCCGCCTAGAGACAACATCTTGAATGATGTCTTAATGTGCGGTCGTGAGGTCAGTCAGCTACGAGGCAGGTATATTGATGAGGTGGAGGTTGCTGCCCACCTCTGACTATTTAGCAGTATGTACACTATAAGTATAGTTACAAAACAAGTATTGTAAGCAGAAAATGCTTTGCTTTTAAACGTATGGGGAAATATTGATATCATTAATAGCGTGATATCAAAGAGTTCAGCATATCGGCGCAGATAACCCTCGCAAAGCACCGCGTGCCTCCAAGCGCTAGTTTATTTTAAGTAAGTAGGTATGTACTTCTTAGCACATACATTTTCAGCTCTATATTTCAAACATATTTTTTGGGCAATATAAAAGGATATTTGGTCACAATGCAACAAAAAATGTAACTCTAAGTATCTTGAAGCCATAAACTGGCACTCTTCCTCTCCCACCCGAGGTACCTCGCACTAACCACTCCTCGCTCTCCGCCTCAGTACCGCGAAGCCCGCGCGCCGCGAGCACAGGGAGAGCCGAACAATCCCCGGCGAAACTGATTTATGGCATTGTTTTCGGTTTCGCTGCCAAAAGGCTCAGCCATTTGGAGTTTGTTGGCTTCAACATAATGACATGAATATTCAAGTAAAAGTAGTTCCGGTTGATACGAGCTCGCAGATAAGACACGGGCACGGGACACGATGCATCCTGTGACTGCCGCATTGTGCCTCCTGCCTCCGCTCGATGGATACCACGCACTTCTTACCATGTTCCCGAACGATTTGCAACAAGTTTTATTGATGTTTTTATTCAGAACTGTGATTTGCAAAGCTCACTTAGCTAAATGTCTGGGGATAAAAAAAATTGCACAAGTTCATTTTTAGGTGTACCTAGGCATGAATTGTAAGTCACCTCTAACACACAAACTTGTTTCTTTTACTTTTAGTTCTAGTAGTCTTGTTTCTTTTTTAAGGTATTTTTAAAAGTGTGTGACGACTGACATGGCGGAAGATAGATCTGGAGGAGGACAACTTGGTGCCCGAACCTACGTGCGTGGGAAAAGGACAGCGAGCTGATGAAAGTACCTGTAACAGAGCAGGAAACAAAAATGTTGTCGATATGTTCATAGGGCACTTATTCTCAAGAAGTTCGTTTATCCGAGCAGCAATTAAAAGTTGTTGCGTCAAGTTTGCCCGCGTTCCGCGAGCTGTGAACCGCTCCTCGGCACGCTGCGGGTACATTTGTTTTCCTCCTCGTTTCATATAAATAACTTCAGGTAGAAAATTAGTTAAATCACCGCATTGAAGTTTGATTATTGTCAAGATATACACATTGACTTTGTGAATTTTGAGGTATTAATTCCTCTTCGCTAAAACACGTGTACAACACACGGGGAGGATGTGTTTGCTTGTACATATGTGTGCAGCAAATTCTCCGAATGTGCCATGAGGAAAGCAGAGAGCGCCTCAGTACGCGCCGACACGACACGAGACGAAAACTAGCCGCATTCTTTTCCACACCTCCGCTACTATAAAGCGTCGGACATGCTGACATTGAGTTTATGAAGCTAGCTCATCGGAAATTAAAAAAATTTTAGCAGCGTGCTGCAGAAACAGGTAAAAAAATTCGTGGTCGTAGCGCAGGCCAACCAAAAAAGTATAACAACAAAAAATTTAAACAGAGAACTTGAATTTCCTACAAAAGCCGTCTGTGAGGTTTTTGTCTGATTCGATGCTCCAGAGACAAGATTAAAAAACTTTGCGCTAATTAACTGCACCCCCGCGCCATCCACTCCAAGCACCGCTCGCCCTCTGCCCTCACCATCTCTTGTCCCGCTCCCGGGCACGCTGTCGTCGTGACGTAACGTCGCTCGGGGAGATCGCTATAGTGCTATCGAAACTTTATGGTCGCTTGTAATTCGGAACCAGACGCGCTTAAAACATAACTTGGGTATCGGCGGGACGAAAGTAACAGTAAGAGTGAGGATGTCTACTACCCACGAAGTGCTCTCCCCATAATGAGCCCACCTGTCACCTTCTTGCGAAGACATTATGTCCTCGCAGCTGACGACGTGCCTCTATGTATAAAGTTGAATCTTATTATAGTAGGAAAGTTAGCATTTCGAATTTTCGTCGCTTTTATGAAGTTACAGAAAGATAATGAATGCTTAAATACATTTGGTAGAATTTATTAAATGATACAGAATAGCAAGTGAGTTTCGTGTCAGAGGCGGAAGCGTTGGAGCGCAAACGACTGCCACTTCACCTGGAAGCATTGCGGCTTTATAAATATTTTTCAGGAAGGTTCGCAATATTCATAATTAACAAATTCAAGCATCTGTCCGCCACTTGCCGCCGGTGACTATTTTTATTTCTAATTTAAATAAATTAGCTCTTAAACATTTTTGAGAAATGGAAGTTAAGTATTCATAATTTTGTTATACTCATTTTAATTAGCACTCAGACATTGTGACATAAGTGTTAAAAAATAGTAAAGGTAAGATTTGATTCAAGGTGTTACTGGTGTATGTGTGGCTAGGAGCAGCGGTGACTCGCCCAGCTGCAGTGTCCGTTGAGGAGATCAGCACAGCTCAAGTATACGAGTGGCCAGAAGTGAGGGGAGCGAGTGCAGCTCGGTGACAGAAGCCGTCCTTTTGCAAAGCATTCACATACTTTAACTATGTCAGTGTTTGTTTTTCGTTATTTATAAATGGTATTTTTCCACTTGTTACTTGTAGATACATACATAAGTAAATCAGAGCATTGGTATGTATCCTTTGAGGTTTTTCATTTTTGTTCACGACGCGGCGGCGGCGATGGCGGCGGCGATGGCGGCGGGGTCGGGGAGGAAACAATGCACTCTTGACACCTCACGTGACACTAGCATGCGACGCGTGACGCTTGTCGTGTGTTGTACGAGATTGTTACAGTAGTTGAATTTAATTCTACCTATAGCCAAAGCCCACAGTAGATATAATAACATGGAACTGGTTAATGAGGTTTAATTTGTGACATCGAGTTTCGTACTACATAATTCGCCACAGTGTAGGGCTACGGTGTTGGGGTTAGGGGTTAGTGGGTACCCTGCGCCCGGTACCTGGCAGCAGGTTCCTGGCGCCCGATGCCTGGAGGCCGGTGCCCGGTGACCAGTAACACGCGTCCCAGCAATCTGTTGAAGTGCGCTCCCTGCGGAACGCCTTTGCCTTTATACCCTTTAATTAAAAACAGGGAAACATTTCAAAGGCGCGGTCAGGGTATTCAAATGTTATAAAAAGCTTCCAAATGCTACAAGGGTGATATACAAAGAGACTAGCACTTAGTGCCCGTTTGGAGAACAGACATAAAACTGAGTGACATAAATGTTAGAAGCTATTTCAACTACCCGAAAAAAAAACCCTAATCATATTTTGGATTTAATAAATATTATAATATATTACTTAGTCCTGAGACAGTAGTATAAGAGTACCTTCGACAGACGTATGTACTCATTGACAAGATGTTGATGTGGCGATACCAGCTCGGCGTTACAACTCGCGCGACGACACATGTTTGAATTTAGTAGCAATATTATTAGATATTGCCATAAATATACTAATCAAATACAATAAACAAAAAAACAAGTAAACAAAACTTAATCGATGTAAAGCGCAGCACTCTTTTTATAAACCTGACTACATCAATTTCCCAATATAAACATTAAATATTCTCGTAAAAATTGTGTAATGTTATGTACGGCAGGTCCTCCTTCTCCTACCTATATATCCAACATACACGTATTACAGAAGAAAGCACTTTGAAAGATGTTCCGACGAAAATGCACCTCGACTCGACTTGCCAAAAGCAATGCATAATTTATGAGCTTACTCCGGACGAAGGATACTGAATCTTAATAGTTACGAGTTACAGAGCCATTTTGTGTGAAAGCTTTAATTCGTCCACATCGAGGCACACCTGCCGTACAGTCGCAAACGACCGCCGCGCCCAGGTACAGTCGCGTCGGGCCGCAGTCCGCACCGCACCGGAGGCTTTAGCGGCCTCGGCGGCTCTGCAAATCCCCACAAAGTCTACGGACGCCATTTGCGGCTGCAATCTGCCAAATTGCAGTCGTAAAACTGAAATTGCAATACGAGTTGCAATCACTGCCAATATGAAAATGTGCAATAACGCTAAATTGCTTGCTGGAATGTGCGTTTATGTATTTCATATTCGTATTTGAATTATATTGTACTGCGTTCTAAATAAGTAGCTATTCCCTTTGCACAAAATTGCTAAGGTACGTATCTCCAGTCTACAGTTTATTGTACCTTTTCTAATGTCACAAATGTTAAATTTTGCATGACGTTTTTGACCTGTGACAAAACTAAACGTGTGTGGTCCATACAAAATCGAGGTATAAGTTTTTTTTTAAATATAGCGAGTTTAAAACAAAGCCATACTTATGTTTGAAATTTCGTGACACGCACTTAAACCTAAAATTTTATTTCGCGCCGTGATTCGTGCGATGTTTAAGATAAATGAAAACCTCTATGTCTAGAAGGCGACAGCATAAGAAAAATGATATATTATCCTGAACAGTTGTACGATCATGACGATAGAATGGATTACAATTACAAGTTACTTAAGACGCGGAATGAATGTACATATTCCAAGTTGGTCCATACAGGCATATAATTCGCTATATATGGCCGCGCCTATAGGAAAGCCAATTAGGATACCAAGTACAAACGATTTAGTCCCTATACTTATGTTGGTTATTCTGGTGCACGGTAAATGAGCGACAAACATACTTAAAATCACTCTTCTTCCATTGCCAAGCGCTCAATATACACTGGTGTGGATGCAGAGTTTATCACTGAAGTCAAATAAATCCCAAAATCCCCGGGTGATACCTATCGGAGAATGAAGGAAACTCAATTCTTTGCTTATGTAAAATGGTGACATCTGTTGACAACTTGAAGAATTACAAAATTTTGTGAGGGTGATTATTTTATTTTTTCAATTGTCTAATAGATGGCGCTTGTGTCAATAAAAAAGTCCAGTAAATATAAGTTGACAATAAAATAGAATTCCCTATCAATTCAAAACAAGTGACAATTATAAAACGGATAAGATAATTTGAAATAAAAACTGTTATGTGGGTTTATAAAACAAATAAGTATTAGATTTATCAAGCTTTCTCATGCCATTACCTTATTTTAACGTTGGACCATCGACGAGTGCCTGGCACTCGTACCTAACTATATCATAAATGTGAAAGTTTATGAATGTTTATGATGTTTGTAAGAAGGTATGTCAAAATATTTCACAATGGATCTGGCGGAAATTTGGTACCGATTCTGAAATCTGTCTGGAAGAGCATATAAGACATAGGCAACTACTTAAGTTTTTTTATATTTTTTTGAGGCGGACAGTATCGCGGACAACAACTACTTATCTAATATAAGAAACATTGTTTACTTTATTTTATCTTGACAAGATAACACGAAGTGGAAATAATTTGTTTGCGACTCTTATAGTGTCAATATGCGATGTATTTTCATTATAATTTTATTAATTCTATCAAATGACGCATAAATATTTCTAGTAAAGATTTTTCCTACGCAGCGATTTGTAGGAATCGTAAAGTGAGTGAACGACAGTGCTAGATAAGTTATTATATAGTTAAGAAGATTATATATGTCAAAATAATAATCCAGGTGCGTTTTAATATTTATGTTTTAGCAATTTTTTTTAGAATGAAATTGAGGCACACTTTAGCGCTGAATGTGATTATTTTTATTGGCGAAAAAAAAATTATCACAAACTGATCAACAACAGATGTTGTGATAATAAATAGGTAGGTTTTAACGTGAGAAGGTTCCTGTCTCTGCAACCCTGACCACTGGTTGTTTGAGTCATGGGATTACGCAGCCGGGGGTGCTCTATTTTTAATATTATATATTTTGTATAATTTTTTGTTTTATATATGAAATTTATTATATTAAGAATAAGGTTAATAAATTAATAAGGAATCTTATTAATTTTATATATTTTACGAAGTTCAATTTTTTGGTGAATCCGTTAACAACATGCGTTCCCTATTAGTCATAAAATGACCTATAAATTGTATTGTCTGCGAATACATAAGCTATGGCGTTAGTAATGTTGCCACATAAAATGTACTTTGTTCCAATGATATTCTGAATTCCTTCAACTGTCTCCTGTCACTGTCACACAAAGCAAAACATCCAGCAATATGAGCCTATATATCATGTATAGTGCAATTTATGTAATAGGTAAAGATAACTGATAACATAACATAGTGTAGTGTAGATTAGGTTTACGTAACAATTGTACATAGGTAATTTACATTACATTTCATTATGTTGATTTATTCTCCAAGTTATCAATTTCTATTCTTATTTTAAAGTAATTTTTATTAAGAGATTTATGCGTATATAAGAGGATTGTAGTCTTTTCACCTTAGTCTTTTGTAATAAAATTCCAATCACAGAAGACTTTAGTTGTTCAGCGATAGTGGTATTTATTGATCGGCGACGATACGAAACTTGCCGAAGACGTCGTGGCGTCGCCGTCAACTTAATTAAATCTGCCATACACCAAAATATGACTGAGTGTATTGGAAATAATACACCTAATATTTCCCTTTGAATTTTATCTTAATTTAACAAACGGCTGTTTTTTAATGTTCGATTTATAACAAGTGCGATGTGTGCAGAGTTGTGAAATTGATTGCAGCATGTCATCAATGAGGTGGGTGATAAGTGGCGGTCGCGCGACGGCGGCAGCGGCGGCGGCGGCGGCGGCGGCCGGCCCCAGTCGTTTGTTGTCGGGTGTCGGGAGAAGATTGAACGCGAGTGATCCGTGTCTGCGTTATTGTAATAGGCTCTCGAACGCACGCACCATGGCATCTAAGGCAGTTACCATAGAAAATCTGAATCCCAACATCATAAAGTTGGAATACGCGGTGCGCGGACCTTTGGTTATACGCGCAGGTGAAATAGAGAAGGAACTCGAAAAGGTAAGAATTACCATATGTTTATTATACTTACACCAAATCTGTGTCAAACTTATAAGCACTAACAAAATATTACACAATGTTTTTTTTTATTTCAATCAGCTGAAAATGTCACCAAATTGTTTAGTTCACTTTAGTCAGAGGTTAAAAATTGATATATTATTTAATTCATCTATTTTATAATAATAAATTCTGTAAAATAACTTAGTTTAACAGAGAATTTTAATTGCAATCACAAATGACTTTTCACTAAATAATGCTTACCATTTTCATTTGAGATGGTTTAAAATATATTCAACATTAATAAAGCCATATATGGTGCAACTTACCCTCTTTTAATTTTATAAAATGTTGTTCAAGGCTTTCCCTTTAGATTGACATTATACATAACTGTGTTAGTTATGCTAATATCTGCCTGCTGCTGCTATGTAAGCTAATGTGAGTTTCTCTCGCTGATGCACATGATGTTATGTGTTCAATCATATCTTACAATACTTTATACCTTTTACAAAGATATGGGAATATCTTGAGAATTTAGGATTTGGTATGTTTATTTGTTAATGCAGTTATTTATTAAGTGGTATATGTGTGGCACATCCCACATCTAAAATTTTTATGTTTTTGACAGAAACCTGCCAAAAATAGAGGCTTTGTGTTCTATGGACAATGTTACTGATGTGTATGAAATTGAGTTACCATGAAATTCTCTGTTGTTGTTGTTGTTGTTGTGAATGAGAGAGATGACAATACATAATACATGTGTTATTTGAATGGATATTCACAACAACACAAAATATAATTTGAAATTGAAGCCGCACTAAATCAACTATGTAGGCAAGTAAATGGTTAGGTTAGGTTATGTTACAATTATTGTTCCACATTTTTTTATAAATATTTCGTAATTACAAATCATCCTGAAATGGCAAGCTGGTGACCTTATTCGATATAAAGTGAACAAACTGTATATACTGTAACAAAAAATAGCAAACAAAGACATATAATATTTTAATTAGGGTTTCTGCTATATAAATATGTATGATTGAAATAAACAATGCTCAAATGAGAATCATCTGAGTGATCTGTTTACTTGAAATCACTGCATAGTGCACTAGTTTACCTGCATTTTGTTACTTTGTTAAGCATTATTATTAGGTTAAGTAGTATTAGAAGAGGAGGCAACTCGAAAATTATGTGATTTACTTTTGTGGCAGTAACCTTCCGAGTAACACTAGTAACAAACAAGCACTTCCAGCACACATAAACTTTCCAACAACTCCTGTTACATTGAATGTATGCATCCAACTGTAAAAAGTAAATAACAGTCCACAGTTTTCATTCAAAAACAAGATTAAAAGTAATTTATTGTTTTAAAGTCTGTGTAAATAACTTTATTTGTGATGTTTGTATGTGATCACAGAGGACAGTATTAGTAAATGGCAAGTGAAAGGTCAGCAACCTTGTGTTGGCCCCTTGATGTTTCGCAACTTTATTTACATGGCTTATTGTTTATAAGAACCGTTAGCCATGTTTAATAATATTGTTTTTAATTATATTTCCAAAGTAAATTGTAAAATTGGCAATATTTCTAATTATTAAAACTGCTTGGAATTATTTGCAATGATTCATATATACACAATGAACTCTCGGTGTGGACAGAACAGTTTGCATGTCGCCGGAAATTGTCAATAATATGGGCGAGTGCGGGGTGCGGGCCGGGAGGCGCGGGGTGCGTTGGTCCTTCGAGCCGGCTCTCACTATCTTCAACCAGAATAACCGTCTCTCGGCTTACTTATAAATGAGATAGTAGTTATTATCTACAATCAACATGTTATTGTTCATTGTTGTATTATCACATCTGCTTGTAAAAAAATATTGCCGTTTTTGTCACTTTCCATTTCATACCTGTTTTTAAGTTTATAATCTATGAACACGCATAATAAGCATGAAGTACGCGTATGTTTTTTTTTAACCTGTGACAATACTGAGTTAATGGAAGGGTATAAATAAATGGCTCGCAATTATCATCCGCTGAACTGTACATTGGGTGACTGTTATGTATGTATGTACGTATATAAATACAATGTAACGTAAACAAATGCAAAGGTCAGTGTGTTGATAGTAAGCAACGTGATGTCACATTTGATAGTTTTTACTATGGCCATTCATGAACACATCAGGATTACCTTACATGTAATTCTTATTGAAGACTGAACAATTAGATGGACAATAACAAATGCTCTCTAATACAAACGACTGTCATGCCACGGGTTTTTTTAAAACCTCCAGTTAAAGTCACACGTTAACTAGACTTTAGTGTATTTAACGTGTGACTGTTGCCTTGTCTCCAGTCGGCCACACCATTTGTTGTACTGACCTTGTGAGTCTGTGTGACAAAGACAAATAACGTTTGTGTTGTAGGTGGTGATATTCGAAGGTCAAAATGACGATGGGATCCCTGAGTGTGAGTGATTAGGTCTACCTGTAGTAATTTAACAACTCTAAAATGTTACATATTTATTAGTAACATTATTATGACACAATTGTCGTGTGCAACATTAAGTAACCGGTAGTGTATCGATCAAGGAGCAGGCCGCGCCGCATCGAGCCGCGCAGCCTGACCGCGCGACATTGAAATGACCTTCCCAACGTTCATTCAAACTTCTGCAACTATATATATTTTCTTTCTGATCTGAGAAAAACACCGCGTGTTTTGTCATTTTTCAATCAATTAACTAACGCCAAACAAACTATGTTTTGTTGTAAATTGCGGTTATTTTTAATTAATGACATTTAAACTTCACAGCAATTTTTCGCTGGAACTGGGCTGTAGGAAACTTAAATATTACTTACTATTGTAACGAGTCATGTATCCACTTTGCCATGAAATTACTCATACATACCTGATTAACATAAACATATAACATAATACATATTTAATTGATTTAGAATTCTTTTGATCATTGTCTTATGAAGTAAAGTGTTACTGTGTTCGTGTGGGAGTTGCTTGTTAAATGCATATAATAGTAATATTCGGCATTTAGATAAAAGATTGGGTGCTAGGGATATATTTATAATAGCTGCAAGCGCGACATGTTTGCATTATGATATTGGTGAGAGCAGCGAAGGTCGCGCTGCGGAATTGTACGGAGTTATAATTAACTGCGGCAATTAGTTTGTGTCGCCGCCGCTTTGAGTACATCTGCGTAAACACACAAGCAATCGCTTGAATCTAATCCGCCGCAACACACCGAAAATAATTGTGCCCAAGACAAATGAGTCCCACCGTATAACTGGAGCGAGGAATAAAGAAGAAAAAACCTTTGTCCGTCAAACACGACATATCCTATTGAGATTAGCAATTATATTCCTTAGTAAACGCCTGCCTTTATGTTTGATAGTGTGCTTGTTTCTTTTATCTTAATCTCATCGAAACGAGTAAAAAGAACTCGTATGTACTTATATTTCTATCACATCATCTTATTTTAACTTTTATCTTATAAAATTTCGTCACCTGTTTCACAATTCTGCTTTACCATTGTGTGGTATAAGATTGCGTGAAAGTCATTATCTATGCGCACGATATCGCGCGGTGGTGCGTTATCACCTGTCGAGTGCAGATTAGCGTCACGTACAGCAGTTTCCCTCTGCACTGCACGCAGCACGCAGCACTGGACACGCACTGGCAATGTTTATCGCCTGCTTTATTACCAGACTGCATTAGCATGTATGCTGCTAGGCTCTGCTTGCTCACTGCTGCTGCTGCTGCTGCTGCTGCTACTTCACTCTAAAGGATGCTTCTAAGATAAAAAGAAGGCGAATTACACTGCTAAATGTAATAGACAATCAGTAAAGACTTATTGTACGACAAGTCTAGTGAAAATACTTTTTTATCACTTTCAATGAATATTTGAACATATATTTCGGTGGCAAAGTTAAATAAACTAGTAATCAAGGATACCTAACTAAAATATTACAAAAGTATGATAAAACATTATTTATCTAGGGCATGAAAATGATTTTGTTGTTGAAATGAAATTGCTGCTTTGATATATGCATAAATGTTCGGTTGTGTAGAGCACTCGTGAGCATTGATATACTGATGAGGTGAGCTTGTCACAACACGTCACGTGCTCGTGTCGTGTTGTGACCATTATGTGAGCAATATGTACCGTCTGCAATGAAGGACATCGACTGACGATGTGACTCGCAGTGCTTTTACATTTACCGGAATTTGTAAACGATCATAAAGCACAAGTAATGCAAAGCAATAAGTATATCAATGTTCGTATGTAGGTACATTATACTCTTATTTGTTTGATGCAAAATCTTTGTGGCAGCAAATTATGACCTAATTCATATTTCATTTTGCGCGTGTTGCATTGTCTGCAGGGCGCCAAGAAGCCATTCAAGACGGTGATCAAGGCCAACATCGGCGACGCGCACGCCATGGGCCAGACGCCCATCACCTTCATCAGACAGGTACAACTGGCACACTGTAACGTTACTCTGTCACACCGACAGGGACACATAGCGGCCGGCTACATGACAGCGTCACGTTGCAGGTGATCGCGTGCGTCACATACCCGGACTTGATAAAGAACAGCGACTTCCCCGCGGATGTGAAGCAGCGCGCAAAGGACATACTGAAGGCCTGCGGGTACGTGCACTTTGTGGTTGGTGCGGCGCCGAGCGGCCGCTGACCAGTGTTGTGTGAGAGCGTGTGTGTGTGTGGCTGCAGGGGCGGCTCGGTGGGCTCGTACTCGATGTCGCAGGGCATCGAGCTGGTGCGCCGGCACGTGGCGGAGTACATAGAGAAGCGCGACGGGCACCCGGCGCGCTGGCAGGACATCTGCCTCTCCACCGGCGCCTCCACTGCCATCAAAAACGTACTGCAGATGTTGTGCAACAAGATCGACGGCAAGCCCTCAGGTGACGTCACATGCACACGTCACACTCTTTTGCACGAGACAAATCCATATCCATTACGTCTGCCAGACTTTTGCATAATACTATTACAGTACATATAACATTATTCATACAATATGTCACAAAACAATCTATTATAATACTTATTGTCTAATGTCACTTATGTATTGCCTGAATCAAGACAACAACCTTCTTCAGCCTTAACAGAGATGAGTGTGCAGTATTCGATTGACAAAAAAGTGAAACAATTACAAATGACTCTCTGAGTTCTTTATCACGAACATCTCGGGAGACAAACAGATAACGCTAAAATTAAAAAGTTTAAATGCAATAGTTGTGAATGTTTTGTCTAGACTTTATTTGTGATGTTAATGTTTACTGCGACCTAATTCCGTCCGAGAGACTTGTGCAATCCTCGTACAAATTTACTGCGCCTTCGTCAAATATGAAATTATATATATATTTGCGGTTCATTAGCCACGACTGTTGAATTACATTTATTTGCCACAGGAACCTCACCTCTACTTATAAATATAACGATACTTGTTTCCATCGACGATAAGAATTAGGTGGAGTTACACAGGGCACATATCAGTTCACGCTTGTCGCAGTGCCGTTGTGTTTATACTTTCGAGGCGAGGAGTGAAAGTTGAGGTGGGTAGTAAGGTTTGTTGTGCGCGTGCGGTCGGCAGGCGTGATGATCCCGATCCCGCAGTACCCGCTGTACTCGGCCTCGCTGGCGGAGTACGGGCTGGAGCAGGTGCGCTACTACCTGGACGAGGAGCGCGACTGGGGACTGGACGTGGCCGAGCTGACGCGCGCGCTCAAGCAGGCCGACAAGACGTGCAAGGTGCGCGCGCTCGTCGTCATCAACCCCGGCAACCCCACCGGGCAGGTGCGTCACAGCGGCCACCGCCTCGACTACCACGTCGACTACTTATCGATCTGCTGATGTCCCCAGTGATCTGACCGATGTTCCAGGTGCTGACGCGGGCCAACATCGAGGCGATAGTGAAGTTCGCGCACGAGAACGGGCTGCTGCTGCTGGCCGACGAGGTGTACCAGAAGAACGTGTACGCGCCGGGCAGCGAGTTCTTCTCCTTCAAGAAGGTAGCGGCTGGTGTATGTGGAGAGGAGTGAGCGGTGAGTTGAGCGTGGTGTGTTGTGTGCAGGTGATGCGCGAGATGGGCGAGCCGTACAGCTCGGAGCTGGAGCTGGCGTCGTTCATGTCTGTGAGCAAGGGGTACGTGGGCGAGTGCGGGTTGCGCGGCGGCTGGATGGAGCTGGTGAACCTGCAGCCGGAGGTGCAGGCGCAGCTGTACAAGTGCATCTCCGCCATGCTCTGCCCCACCACGCTGGGGCAGACGGCGGTGGACTGTGTGGTGAGTGCGGAGGCGGGGGCGGGGGCGGTGCTGCAGCGAGGCGGCAAGTACACGGCTCCCTTGGCTCGTGCAGGCGAAGGAGCCGGCGCAGGGCGAGGAGTCGTACGAGGTGTGGTCGCGTGAGAAGGCGGCGGTGCTGGCCTCGCTGGCGGAGCGCGCCACCATGATCGCCGAGACCTTCAACTCCATGCAGGGCTTCAAGTGCAACGTCGTGCAGGTGAACCTCGCCATCGCTTTCGTTACGTCCGCGTCAAAGTATTGCGCTGACGTCGCCGTGGTGCTGTTGCAGGGCGCCATGTACGCGTTCCCGCGCATCGAGCTGCCGGAGAAGGCGATCGCGGCAGCCAAGGCGGAGGGCAAGGCGCCCGACGTCTTCTACGCCTTCCGTCTGCTGGAGGAGACAGGTAAGTCATGCACACACGTACACACACGTGTTTTGTGTTGAACGTTGTGGGCGGGACGAGAAGGAAGTTCACTGTCCGTGTGTCGCAGGCATCTGCATAGTGCCGGGGTCGGGGTTCGGTCAGCGGCCGGGCACGTACCACTTCCGCACCACCATCCTGCCGCAGCCCGCGCTGCTCCGACACATGCTCGACAGCTTCAAGACCTTCCACCAAAACTTCACAAAGCAGTACTCGTAGACCGCCTTCTTCTATCACATGGAAACTGAATGTAAAACGACTTTGCTTTTTATATCTATTTTTTGTAAATTCGTCAAAACGAGATCGTGTGTCAGTTTTTGTGTATCGCTACTGTTGAGGGTTGAGTGAAAAATTATGCAAAGAATGAAATTGCAGCCATTCCTAGGAAACTGTTCTCAAAAGTGAATTTACTAAAACTTCAACATTTACTTTATAAAAGAGTTGGTGTATGACCCCCACTCGCACCCCCCCCTCAGCCACTTTATGAAATAAGAAAACCAATGTCAGTTGTACAATAATGTTGATATGTATGTATATACTCTGAGTCAGTCTGCAGTGAATGAATATACAACACTGTTAATGTTGTAACAACAGCACGTCTGTGTGTCTAGTCTAACTTGTGCCATTTTTGGTGTTTCCTTTCATTAACAAACATGTCATGTTTTTCATTATTTTCCTAATTTGTTATTTATTATTATGCTTTTACTATATTTACTATTTGTCAATACTATTTGCTCCAAACAACTTCCTTGTCGCTGTAAAAGTAAAACTTTGTATAGAAATACTTCGTTGCATTTCAAAGAAATGATTTTTGTAAAAGCTTATTGTGAGTAATATTATGAGGCGCGCTGACATTCCCTCTGTTCCAGATGTTATGTTCGTATTTACTTTACAGTTTGTTATAAATGAGTTAAATAAATATCCTGGTTTAACATTTTTGTGATTTTATTGGTGTTTAGTCACTCCACTCTCCTCTCTCCTGTATCTCATTCACTTTGATGCAATGAGCAACGCTTTATAAAGCGACTGTGACCGGGGCGGAGGCGGGGGCAAGACGGAGGTCGGGGCAGAGGCGGAGGCGGGGCGGGGGCGGAGGATAAT